AATCCATGGCGGCATTGAGTGAGGTGTTCAGTGCGGACTCTTAGTGGATGAGGAAAACAAGGCTCTATTTCAGACCATGTCTGTCTGTCCATACATCCACCACCATCTGTCAGTCATCCACCTATCAATGGCCTGTCTATCCATCCATCATCTATTATCTATCAACCGTCTATGTGTTTATCATTCAATCATCTATCTGTCTATAATATTTACCATCCATCAATCAATCACCCGTGTGTCTACAATCTTTTATCAATCAATCCATTAATCAACTGTATATCATCTATCAGTCTGTCAATTTATCACATATCCATCCATCCAAGCATCTATCCATTGATCTGTCAATCTGTAGGTCTGTCTATCCATCCACCCACCCATCCAACAATCCACCCATCCACCCATCCACCCATCCACCCATCCATCCATCCACCCACCCATCCATCCATCCATCCATCCATCCACCCACCCATCCATCCATCCACCCACCCATCCATCCATCCATCCATCCACCCATCCATCCATCCATCCATCCACCCACCCATCCATCCACCCATCCATCCATCCATCCATCCATCCACCCATCCATCCATCCACCCACCCATCCATCCATCCATCCATCCACCCATCCATCCATCCACCCACCCACCCATCCATCCATCCATCCACCCATCCATCCATCCACCCACCCACCCATCCATCCATCCATCCACCCATCCACCCATCCATCCATCCATCCACCCATCCACCCATCCACCCATCCACCCATCCATCCATCCATCCACCCATCCACCCATCCATCCATCCACCCACCCATCCATCCATCCACCCATCCATCCATCCACCCATCCATCCATCCACCCACCCATCCATCCATCCATCCATCCATCCACCCATCCATCCATCCATCCATCCACCCATCCACCCATCCATCCATCCATCCACCCACCCACCCATCCATCCATCCATCCACCCATCCACCCATCCACCCATCCACCCATCCATCCACCCATCCACCCATCCACCCACCCCAGGCTTGGTGGAAACCCCTCCGCGTCCCCCGGTTTGTAAAAAGCATTTCCCTAAAACAGAGAAACCCGAGTCAGGGACTTCTCTGGCTTTGATTTTTCCCGTTAAATTGGGAGTCGATATTGATTATTGATCCAGCTGGGCCGTGGCCACCGACATCCCCAAATCTCCGTGGCTTTCTTCCCTGTGTCATCTGAAAATCGATGACATATCTATTTAAATTTTCCTCTTTTTTAAATTATTTGCCAGATCACACAGCAGCTTTCTGGCTGAGACCTGCATTTTTCAGTAGTTTCCTTCAGATTTTGTCATTGTGTGAGTAATGCTGTTCCTCCAGCCAGATCCTATAAATCTGTTCCTTCAGAGTCACTTCCTCCAGATATTTTTTCTTGTTTTATTTTTACTGCTTTGGGTCCAGATTCTCTCCTTGCTGTTATTTTTTGAGTCAGTTGGACGGATTTTTCCTTCATCACCGTCCTGGAACATCACTGGGCAGACGGTGACCTCATAGCGAGGCCTCTTTCTGGGACATTTCCTAGTCCTGGTTCCTGAGCCTTTGGGACGTTTGGGTTTGTGCTGCAAATCCGTGTTCCCTTTTCAAAGGGGGAGATTAATCCTGCTGGGATTCCACGTTTCTGGAGCCTTTGCACTGCACAGCTTGTGCCGGGCCCTGTGCCTCACGCCTGTAATTCCAGCACCCGCTTTGCAAACGCCGAGTCCTGAGTTCAAACCCCAGGATCCCCTCAATGACAAGAAAAAAGAAACAGTTTGGGGTGTCACACTGACCAAGAAAAGGAAAATCCTGTTATCTGAATAGTCTCCCCATGACTGTTTTTGTTTTTCTGTGGAGCTGCCCAAGGTTTGCTGTAAATCTTTCCACATCCCTTGCTATGTCGTGGCAAAAATAACAGCAATACAAAAGTCGTAGCAGGCAGGCATTGACCCCCCCCATACCCCAGGTGACATGTGCCTTGCACAAGAAATGTTTGCAAAATGAAACTCAGATCCTACAAGACTTGGAGGACAAATGGATTTTTAATGAGACCTAGGAAAAAGAGAATGCAAGAGAGAGTATATTTTCTGCAATGGCTTCATTCTGAAATGTTCCCCAAAGGCCCTGAAGACTTTGTCACCACCTGAGGGTCATATTGGGAAGTGGTGGGACCTTTGAGAGGCAGGTTCTGGGAAAGGAAATGATGTCATTGGGGGCGTGGCCTGTACAGGGATACTGATGGATTCATAGCTTAATAGGCTACAGGGAGGTTGTAGAGCCTTTAAGGGGTGGGGCCTAGCAGGCGGAAGTGACATCATTGGGGTGGGGCATAGCCTGGAAGGGAATATTGATGGGTTCATAAGCTAATGAGCTCCTGGGAGGTCGTAAAGTCTTTAGGAGGTGGGGCCTCATAGGCGGAAGTGACGTCGTGAGGGACTGGCCTGGAAGGGGAGATTGATAGATTCATAGCTTAATGGCCTCCTGGGAAGTGGTGAAGCCTCTGGGAGGCGGGGCCTAGTGGGAGGAAGTGACATCACGGGGGCGTGGCCATGAAGAGGATCTTGGGTTCCTGTGCTCTTCCTCTTCCTGTTTCTGGCTTCCTGGCTGCCATGCTCTGAGCAGCTTAGCTCTGCCACGTGTCCCCAGCCGTGACCCTCTGCCTTGTCACGGCCCCAAAAGCAATGTGCCCACACCACCACCCTGAACTGGAATCTCTCAATTCCACAAAACAAAGCGTTGCTCTTTATTAATTGTCTCCTGTGTTGGTGACAGTGACAAAAAGGTGACCAACACACCGTCTTCCAGCTACGAGAAAAACAAAAGGACACTGAGGATTTGAGACACATATGCGAATCCCCTGGAAATGACAGTGGCCCCCCATGAGCGGCTCCCGGGATGTGTCACTGGGTTCACTTTCTGAGTGCCCCATGGCGGATTCAGGAGGTCATCACCTGCTAGGGGAAGCTGCCATGCTCCATCTCAGCTTTTCCAGGTCCTAGGGTTTGGACCTGGGATGTCCCCGAAGGGTCCCATAGGGACAGCGTGGTCTCCAAGGCAACAGGGCTTGGGGGGGAATTTGGGGATGAGGGGAGCATGAAGGGCCTGACCTCATCAGTGGATTCATCCATTGATGGACCCATGGCTGATGGATTGACTCACTGATGGACCCATGGCTGAATGGACTGATCCATTGATGGACCCATGGCTAATGGACTGACCCATTGGTGGACTCATGGCTCAGTGGATTGATCCATCGATGGGTTCATGACTTAAGTCACCACCCGATGGAGATATTGGGAGGTGGTGGAGACTTTAGGAGGTGAGACCAGTTGCAGGAAGTCGGTCAATGAGGGTGTGTCCTCCTTGAGGAAATTTTTTTTTGCCCCTTTTTCTCTCTCCCTCTCTGTTTCCCTCCCTCCTTCTCCGTGTCTCTCTTTTCTGTCTCTCTCTTTCCCTCTCTTTCTTTGTGCCTCTCTTCCTCCCTACCTGTTTATGTCTTGTCTTCTCTCTCTCCCCCCATCTTCCTCTGCCTCTCTCCTCCACACGTTCTGTCTCCCTCTCTCTCTCTCTCTCTCTCTCTCTCCTTCCCTCCCTGTCTCTCCCTCCTCCCTTTCTCCTCCTATTCTCTCTGTCTCCTTCTCTCTCCCTCTCTCTCTCCCTCCTCCCTTTCTCCTCTTCTTTTCTCTTCTCTCTCTCCTCTCTCTGTCTCTCTCCTTGGCCACCATGATGTAAGCAGCTTGGCTCCACCGTCCCCTCCCGCCATGATCATCTGCCTCGCCATGGCCCAGAAACAATGGAGCCCGGCGACAATGGGCTGTCACCTAAAGCGACTGTGTGTTAAAGTACGCACATCTACGTCGCGCAAAGAGGAAGGAAACGAGCGAGAAGGGAAAATGAGCGAGGAAGGAAGGAGGACGGTCACAAACTCAATCCACAGCGTCACACATTGTCCCCATGACTGCTGCCACCTCGTAAACCTGTGAAAAATCCCCTCGGTGGCGTCCCAAGAGGGCTTGGCTCACACTGACCTGCATTTCATTCGTTTGTTTGCTTGTTGGATAATTGATTGACTGACTGACCGATTCACTGATTAATTGACTGACCTTACGTTAACATTCACTGATCAGTGTCCATGTCATGAGCACCAGAATCCCTTGTCCTCCTACCTCCCAGACCCATAGGGAAGCCAGGTCCACTTCAGCAGAGAACCCCACAAAACTGGGGGACACGAGGCACGCTGAGGAACACAGCCAGCTGAGGGGGTCGTAGGGCCATCTTGCTGAGTGGCCGGCCGTGGAGTCCACAGGGACTTTGATGCCACGTTGGTGACAGGAAACGTGTCCTCCATGACGGGTGTGCTGGATTCCGGTCATACGGCCCTATTAACATTTGGGGGTCACGGAATTCTTTGTCCTGGGGGACGGTCCAGTACATCTTAGGATTCTGATGTCCACCTGCTCCACAGAACCCCAAAACGTCACCAGGCGCGGTTTCCCGTGGGGACACATGGCGTTGTCCAACTGGGACCACCATTGTGGGGGAAAAACAAGATGGCGGACCCTGTCCTCCGTGTTTAAGATGCTGTTTCTTTCCAGGGTGTCGTTGTCACCGAGCTTTTCCAGGGAGGAAGGTGGTCATCGGTCATCGGAGGGAGGCGTCGGCCGCTCACCCTCAGGTTTGTCCGCGTGGCCGGCTGGGACCTGCGGCTCAGGCCCAGGACACAGAGACGGCCGCGTGGAATATTAGCAGCCCAGGAAAAGTTCAAAGTATTTGAAATACCGTTTCCAGCGGCCGTCTGTTGACTTATTTTACGCCACGGTGACTATTTTTTTGCATTTTATGCAACGCAGCCCCGTGTTGTGCAGAGGTGAAAACAGTTACCAAACGGCCAAGCCCTGGGTGAGGTGGACCCAGGTGGGGGCAGCTGGCTCCCAATAAAATAATCAATCTGCAGTCGGAATTCTTAAAAGGTACAAAGTTTTATTAAACAAACCTGCAATCAATAGTATTCTATGACATAAATTAGACAGGAGGAAACGACCCTAGGGCATATATTTTTATATATATTTATATATGTTCAAGTCACAGTGATTACCCATCGTGCAGCAAGTCGACAGGGTGCCAGGGGACATCTACAAGTAGGAAGGTGACACCCGCCTGGTGCACACGGCACCCTACAGCAGTCAGTCAGTCACATACTCCCCAGAACGTCGTGACTTTTAGAGACATTTAGTGACTTAGTGACATTTAGTGACATAAATGTCACTAAAAGATGTCAGCTCTTCAATGCTTTGGGTTTTGTTCTGCAGGAAGTAGGATGAGGGAGCGTGGACTTTGACCAAGGCACGTTGATTGACTAACAAACAGAAGGTAGGTAGGGGTCCCTGCACATGGAGCCACCCTGGGCTTGTAGGATTGGCGCACCCACGGGGGAAGCAGCCGGAGTCTGGCTGCATTTCGGGTCACCCCGGACCCAGGGGGACGAGGGAGTCCGTGCGGTGGCCTTGGGGCCGTGTGCTGGGGTCGCCAAGAACGGCCATAGTCACAGTCATGAGGTCCAGAGTGTCCAGGCAACTCAGGTGTCTCACAAAAAACCCAAAAAAAGGCAAATGCACCCCAAATCGGCCAAGCGTGCGGCTCCAGGGCCTTTTCCGTAAATAGGACTGGGCGTGGGAATCCGAGGGGAGGCCCCCTGGGCTTTGCCACGGGGCCGGTGTCCTGCGGCCCCAAAGGCGGGAACGACACTGGGGCTGTGTCTGGTGGGAAGGTGGTGGCAGTTTGTCCTCCGGGTCATTTTCCTTTATTTCCCCACTTTGCATTTTGGGGTCCTCTGAAGATTTGGGAACGGCTCCAATGAGCCAGGACCTCGTCACTCTATGGGGGTGACCTTGCAGGTTCGTTTACGGCTGGAGAAGTCCGCGTCCTATTGATCATCGGTTATCGGTTATTGGTTATCGATTACTGATCACTGATTGATTGTTGGTTATCGATTATTGGTCATCGATTGACGCTCGGTGAGCGAGTGCCTTCTCACCAGGGGACGCGCGTTGCACACAACCGGCCCCAAAAGCAGCCATGACAGCATCTTGGCCGGGCAGTGTCATTTAAGAGCCCCCGGTGGGCGCCAGGGAATGTCTTTTTTATTAAAAATTGCCTGAAGAGCTCCCTGTGGTGTTTCTTTATGCATCAAATGACTTCTTTTTGCAAAAAAGAAAAAAAATGCAGGCATCAGACCTCACAGATTTGTCCCCGAGAGAGATTCTTTTGAGAAATGAAAACACAGTCCTAGGCTTTGCAAAAGTGCCCATCTTTCATCTCTGCACAGTCTGTCCCTGTACGTGGTCACACGCACACACACACTCGGTGTCGATCAACAAACCTGCACAGTTCACACTTGGAGTAAAGTCAGTGCACACACTCGGTGTCGATCAACAAACCTGCACAGTTCACACTTGGAGTAAAGTCCGTCCGCACACACTCGGTGTCGATCAACAAACCTCTGCCAAGTTCACACTTGGAGTAAAGTCCACCTATGAGCAAAAGCAAGAGTGCACGGGCGGGAGGAGCGCGGGGCTGCGCGGTAAAATAAAATGCACAACTGACTTTCGAAAACCTCCGGCAGGGCAGCAGGCTTCCAGTTGCTTAGAGGATGGTGGGTCCGTGAGTGTCCCGCATCCGCGAACCCCCGTGTCCACACGGATGTGCAGAAGCGGGGACGTGAGGACGCGGCTCCTCGGGGCCGGGCAGGTGCACAGCTGCAGTTCCTGGGTGAAAAGAAGACGAGGAACTAGAACTGGAAAATTTCCCAAAAATCTGGACACGTTTTCCCATAATTATCATTTTGATTTCCTTTCCGGTAAGTATCTAGATAAAATTTCTCACGTTTTGGACAAATCATTAAGAACAGGACAGCTCGCTTTCAGAAAGTGACATTGTACTGGCCCGCTTTCCTCCTCCCTGATTTCTGCTATTTGAGCGACTAACCGACGTCGGAAAAGATTACCTGGGAAACTCCAGCATTAAAAGAGGCAGGAGTTTCCGACCGTGCGCTCTACTGGACACCATGGTAACGGAGCCCACCGGGCTGTCAGTCATCTCGCCTGTCAATCAAGTCACATCTATGTCACTGGTCACACTGACTGTCTTGGTGTCACCGTTATTTTGCTTAGAAATGGCCCCAAAGGACAAGAGCAGTGACACTGGGATTTCCCTGTTGTAGTGTGTTTATTGCCAGTAACTGTCCTCTTTCCTATCGGGGCCCCACTGATGACCTAATAAGGACGGGATGACCCAATAAGGACGTGATGGCCCAATAAGGACGTGATGGCCAAATAAGGACGTGATGACCCAATAAGGACGCGATGACCAAATAAGGACGTGATGACCCAATAAGGACGTGATGACCTAATAAGGACGCGATGGCCCAATAAGGAAACAGCGTCCCAGCCTCTTCCATTTCTGTCCGCCATTTTTCCCCGTTTCCTTCCCAGAAAGCAATGGCAGCAATGGGAGTTCCTCAGCCGCCATCTCTCAGCGCCCACCCCCACCCTCTCTCCCAGACGTCAAGGATGCAGTCGATGAACCTATGAGACGTCCAGGCCACATAACGGAGGACGAGAATAAAAACTGAGCAGAACAAAACGCGTCGGTCAGTGAGCAGACACACCTGAGACCATTTGGGTTTTCTCTTTGCTGGCAATTAAAACGCGCAGTAAATGAGACAGATTTAAAAAATAAAAAAAATTTTAAAAAGCAGACCTGGCCAAGGAGAGTGACTCACACCTGTAATCCCAGCCACTCGGGAGGCAGATGGAGGAGGTGACACCAGGGGTTGAGAGGGGACTGTCCTATTGTCCTTCTCTGCTTGTGTCGTAAAACGATGAGGGCGGGCCAGCCCTAATCAGTAAACGTCATCACTCACGGCCCTGGGATGCGATCAACAAACTCCCTAATTCTGCATTTCCCACCGATGGAAAACGTACCTTCCGGATGTGAGGCTGCGTCCTCAGAAGTTCTTGAAGATTTCCAAATCTTTCTCGGACACCGGAGGGGCCTCGTCCCACTCGTTTTCGGGGTACGTCTCGAAGTTGGAGGTGTCGCCATCCCCGGTCAACTTGGGCACGATTGGTGGCTGTGCGATGCGGCCAAGACAGAAAGCCCAGGTTAGACAAAGATGGCGGCTGTCGTGACACGGGGTGTGTGATGTCGCTTCTGACATTTTGCACACAGAGGGGAAGTGATTTCACAGCTTTATTTATTACTTAGGGTCTCCTTGGGATGTTGATCGACTCCTTGACGGTACCACGGGAAGTTACCATGGCTTGCTCGTCACTGTGTGTGGATAAAACTTTATTTGCAGACACAAGCGAGGGGCCAGAGGTGGCCCACAGTTTGGAGCCGGCAGAAAACTGGCTGTGTGAAGGAGCACTTCTGCGTCCCTAAAGTCATACCTTGAGTTTTCTCTGGGGGACGGCGTCCCAGTCGACGCCTCGGAACCAGCGGTGCCGTTTCACGTCCTCGGCGCCGTTCTTCGAAGGAAACGCGAGAAGAAGATCAAGAATAAAAACGCGTGCGAGTGGAGGCTTTGGATACAGAGGCCGCGGAGGGTTTGTGCGGCGGAATAGTATTCAGCCCTGAAAAGGGAACTGAGTCCTGGAAGGGGCCACAGAGAGTCCGGCAAGGGAGCAGAGAGCAGACACGCATTTTCTTACTGGGGCCTTCGGCATGGGCTGAGGGCAAGGCGTGGCCAATGACAGCACAGCGCAGTGACGGGTGACAGACGCGTCCCGGGGGAGAAGATGGCGGAACCAGTACTGACCTTCATGTTCCCCAGGCGCCTCGTCCTGTCCACCACAAGCAGCTTCCTAATGAGGTCCCTGTGGGGAGAAGGAAGAATGAGACCCCGGTACGGGGCTGAGGCCGACATCCAGGCGTCACCGGGCGCCATATGCGTTTGTTGATCGGCTCACTGTCGTCCGCCTGGGGACAGCGAGGTCTGCTCTTGGTTTGTCACTCTCATCCCTAGAGAGAAATTCTGTTCTGGTCCGGGTGGCGGTGACACGTCACGTGTCCGCACCTGTCGGTCTGTCCCTGAAAACGAGATGTCTGTCTACAGATAGATGGATAGACAGACGGACAGATAGATACAGACAGATGGATAGACAGATGATAGGTAGGTAGATTGATGGGTGGCTGACTGATAGATGACTGACTGACTGATGGATGACTCATGACTCACTGATTGATGGATGACTGACTGCTGGATGACTGATGGATGACTGACTGATAGATGAATGACTGCTGGATGACTGACTGATGGATGACTGACTGACTGATGGATGACTGACTGATGGATGGATGACTGATGGATGACTGACTGACTGATGGATGACTGATGGGCAGATGGCACAGACAGACGTACAGATGGCGCACACACACAGAGACAGATGAGGCAGGGATGACTGGCAGGTAGGCAGATTAAAAAGCTTGATGGCGTGTGTTTGTGCGGTGCTGAAAGACCACACAGAAAGCACACAGTGAGAGCATAATGTGTGCGCGTGGTCACAGACAATAAAAAGACGCCACGTGTTTGCGCTCAAAGTCCACAGGAGGCAGCAAGGATTGTGGACCGAGGCCAGCCTGGGGCAAATGCTTCTTGAGATCCCATCTCTAAAATAACCAGAGCAAAAATGGGCTCCAGTGGTGCGGTGCCGAAGAGTGAAGTCGTGAGTTCAAATCCCAGTCATACCAAAAAAAAAAAAAAAACCCCAAAACTTGCACCCCCACAAGTGCATGGCAATGCGAGATGACCAAGATGTCACCAGGACTCAGCCAGTGTCCCAGTGGACGCCAGCCCCTTTCCACCTTGGGTATTTCCAAGATGGTGTCTCAGCAGCCGCTTTCCCGGGCTGCCCTCGAACCTCGGTCCTCCCGACCTCGGCCTCCTGCGTAGCTGGGATTACAGGTGTGGCACCGGCACCCTGCCTGTGCTGGGCATTTTCAAGATGGGGTCTCAGAAACCGTATTTCACCCCCCATTGCTGAAACTAACGAAATGCGGAATTAAGGACAGCAATATTCAGTCAACGCTCTTCCCCTAAAACGGTCCCTGAGTCGCGATTTTAGCATCAAAGCGTTAACCAGGAGAAGGACAATCGGAGCCAAGGAGAAATCACGGTTATTCGGTCTACAACCGCAGAGCTCGCTCTAATGGGACCCGGTGACAAAGCCTCTCTCTCCCACTTCAGTGTGCTTGGTGGCCGAGAGCCAGCCCCGGGTCTTTAGGGGAGAAAAAGGGAGAACACTGAAAAGATTTTCCCTTTTGTGTAGAAAAGGCACTTGAAACAGCACATTCCACAGGAAAGTCAGACAGACAGACAGACAGACACGGGTGACACACGCGTCCCCAGTGTGACTCTGATCACAAGCGTGGCAGGCGATGAGACAAGCCAGGTACTTACTTGGCCCCGAAATCCAGGTGTCTGGGGAAATCGATCTTGCCCGCCAGGATTTTCTGATAAATACCAAACGGGTTGTCATCGAAAAATGGCGGAAACCTGGAAGAAAAAGAGAAGTGCTGTTTTCAGTGCAAACGGAAGAGGGGGAAAAAGTTCTGCCCCGCGCGGGCGGAAAGTCACTCAATTCACGTGCGTCCGGCCCTCGCACTCGGGGCCACCGTTCACAGCGACTCCCGCGAGCACATGGTGGAAAGGACAAGGGAGGGGACTGTGCCTCGGGCAGGGTACAAGTGACATTAGGTGTTCTACCAGCAGGTCCAGGGGAGGGGACAGTGGTGGCTTGGATCCGAGGTGTCCCCAAAGGGTCCCAGGGGGACGGTGTGGTCCCCAAGGCAGCAGGGTCACAGGGGGGACTTTAGGAGGTGAGAGGAGAATGAGGGGCCTGACCTCATCAGTGGATGCATCCATTGATTGACTGATAGGTGGATGGACTGATCCATCATGGACTCGTGGTTGAATGGATTCATCCATTGATTGACTATTGAAGCATTGATGGACATACAGCTGAATGGATTGATCCATTGATAGCCCCATAGCTGAATGGATTGATCCATTGATAGCCCCATAGCTGAATGGATTGATCCATTGATAGCCCCATAGCTGAATGATTCATCCACTGACTGACTAATAGATGGATGGACTGATCCACTGGTGGACTCATGGCTGAATGGATTCATCCATCAAGGGACTCAAAGCTGAATGGATTAATTCATGATGGATTCATACATTAATGGATTAATCCAGTGATCAATTCATAGCTTAATGGATTACTAGGAAGTGGTGAAAACTGTAGAAAGTGGGTTCTACAGTGTTCTTGGCGGTGTGTCCTTGAAAGGGATATTTTTTCTATCTGTTTATATCATGTCTGACCATTGACTGACACTCTGACACCATGAACCAAGATAACCATCTTGTCCTTTAACGTGACTTTCTCTGGTATTTTGTCACATCCAGGGAAACACGGAAACCTGCAAGTGTCCCCTATCCACGCATGGCACCCCACAGCACAAAGAATGGCGGCTTTCTGCAGATGGGCTTGTGCCTCCGTCCCAGGAAAGCCTCCTATAAATGTCAGAGCTCACGGCGTTTTGTGGTGCGATCAATCGCTCTGTACTGATTACATTCTTCCTAAATCCCTAACGGAATGCACACAGTCGGTGCTCAATAAATGTACGCGGGTGCCGTCGTAGCCGTCGGGATCCCCATAATTTTATGGAAGCCTACGTCATAAATAAGTCAGTAGGATATTTCTGAAGGATGACTGGGACAAGTCAACATTGCTCTCTAGCTTGCGCCGTGGGCAGCGAAGACCAAATCCAGGGAACGGAAGACCGCAGCCCCCAAGGACCGTAGGTTTCAGGGCTGGTGGTTAGGGTGGTCCTACTGGACGTGGGGGTCCTCATGGGACGTCTTTTGGTCATTGGGGACCCGGGACACAAGAAACACTCTCACTACTTAGCCTCATTACAACTGGAAGTTTTCATAAAATGGAAGCGAGAAATGTCACCACTGCACAAAACGGAGTTTGCCAATGACTCCCTGATTGGTGACCCCATATTTCATTGAGCGCAAATAGCTCTATTGATTTTTGATTCGATTCCCGGTTTACACGGACGAGGGTGGCCCTAGACGCAATGGCAGTGTCCTCACAAGAGACAGAAGGGGACAGGGACACAGAGGAGACGCCACGGGAAGATGGTGGCAGGGACTGGAGGATGGGGCCATGAGCCAAGGACACCTGGACCCCAGGAGCTGGAATGGGGGGACGGACCCTGTGCTGGGGCCTGAATGGGATGTCATTTGGAGATAGGAAATTGCACATGGAATGAAGGTCGTGAGATGAGGTCGCCCTGGACCAGCTGTGTCACCCACGCCATTGGGCCAGGCCGCCATGTTGGAATATGGTCAAGCACCATAGAACTGAGGGCAATGGTGACTTTTCCAAAAGCTGTGTCACCTGGGGCCTGACAATGGGGACTCATTTGGAAATAGGGTCTTTGCAGGTGGAATTAAGGATCCTGACATGAGGCCATCCTTGACCAGCTGTGTCACCCGCTCCATTGGGCCAGGCCGCCATATTGGAATATGGTCAAGCACCATAGAACTGAGGGGAATGGTGACTTTTCCAAAAGCTGTGTCACCTGGGGCCTGACAATGGGGACTCATTTGGAAATAGCGTCCTTGCAGATGGACAGATCCTGTCCTTGGGCTGTGGAGGTAGTGGCCCTGCTCCACCTGGACGTCACACATCTGCTCTCCAGGGCAGCACGGGAACATCGAGTCCACGCAACCGTGACCTCCTGAGACATCCGTGGCCCCAGTCAGGCCTTTGTCACTTGTCACATGGTGTCTGGGTGTCACAGGGGACACTCTCCTGTCTGTCCAGGCTTGGGCGGTGGCTCCATGTGGACGTGTCCAGCTACGGGACTTCACCAAGACGGTGGGTAAGACTCAGGAAGGGAACATTAAACTTGGGGGGAAATGTGTCATGAGGCCCTAAAACGGGAGGAATTTTTCAGGTTTCACAAGTGGAAATTATGAAAATGCAAAGGAAAAGCCAGGCAGCCGAGGACCATGGCGTCCTCTCGGCACGGAGTGGGGGACACTGAAATTCTCACAGTTTGGCCTCGAAATGCATGGATTGGTTTTGTGAGTGTGTGGGGCGCGCTTGTTATATGGCATCTGGCATTTTAAGCATTTTAACTTAGACAAGCTGGATGACCCCAAAGGCTCCATGTGGAAGCGAGGTCCCCAAGGCACTAGGGTCACAGAGGGGACTTTGGGAGGTGAGGGGAGCATGAAGGGCCTGACCTCATCAGTGGAGTCATTCATTGATTGACTAACAGCTGAATAGATTGATCCATTGATTGACTAATAGCTGAATGGATTGATCCATTGATGGACTCACAGCTGAATGGCCTATTGGGAGGTCATGGAGCCTCTAAGAGGCACGGCCTACTATAAGCGAGGTCACTGGAGGCGTGGCCTAGAAGGGTATATATTGTACTGAATCTTTCCTCTCTCTCTCTCTCTCTCTCTCTCTCTCTCTCTCTCTCTCTCTCTCTCTCTCTCTCTCCCCTCCTGGCCGTCATGATATGAGCAGCTTTGCTCCACCACTCACTCCTGCCGCCATCTTGTTCTACCTCACATGGTCCAAAGCCATGGAGCCCCAGGGACCACTGACTGAAACTCTGACAACCATGACCCCAAATCAAGGTTTCCTCCTTTAAGTTGACTGTGCGAACTATTTTTGTCCCTGCAGCAGAAAGCTGACGACCCAGGTGTCTAAGAAGATGTCCCTAAGGCATGATGTCTTTCCTTGTACCCACAGAGACCCCGCAGGGAGAGCAGGATCCTACACTGTCCACGGCTTCCTGTCCAGCTGCAAAGACAGGCCGGCCGGGGAAGGCAGGTGGCTTGGGATAAAGTGTCAGGAGAAGGAAGAGTGGGGAAATGGGGTCACAATAGCTCCACCCCACTGTGGCTCCTCCTCAAAGACCCCAAACCTCACAGCCTTGTACTGAAAAACAAAATCAAGGTCTGGGTCTTTGGTGGAGTGCATGTGTGAGGCCATGGACTCCATCCCCAACACTGCAAAAACTAACGAAAACCTATGCATCTCACACAAATGGCGTGGATTTGGGGAAGTGCAAGACAGAAGAAAATGTAGGGGGGGAAGAAAAGGAGTTACATAACGAGTCAGTAAGGACTAGGGACAGGGTACAGAGTAAGATGGAGAAAAACAAAAACCAGAGAGCGGGTATGGTGGCTCACACCTGTAATCCCAAGCACTTGGGGGGCTGAGATGGATTGGGAAGATTTCTGGTGAAAATCATCCCAAACAGAAAGTTTGAGAGACCCCATCTCAACCAACAGTTTGGGTACAGTGGTGTACACCTGTGTTCCCAAGACACTGGGAAGGGTGTGATGAGGAAGATCACGGTTCCTGTCTAGCCAGACCAGAAGGTTCAGGAGACCTCATCTAAACAAGAAAGTCGGGCATGGTCGCACACACCTATAATCCCAGCCATGGCAGGAATCATGAAATGAAAGGGATCGCCGTCCAGATCACCTGGGCAAAAAGAACCTATGTGAAAATTAATCAGAGGACTCCGGGATTCACCCATCCTTGGGCAACGCTGCCCCTGGTGCTGCAAGATGGAAGTGACGAAATGCACCTCAGGCCAGGCAAAGAGTCATCAACGGGCAGAAGATTCGTCTGCTCATTTATTTCTGAGACACGGTGTCGCCGTGCACCTCAGGCTGGCCTCGAACTCATGACCCACCTCGTCAGCCTCCTGAGTGCCGGGATAAGAGGTAGACGGACAGACAGATAGATAAGATGGTAAAGATAAACGATCAAAGATCATAGATATAAAATGATGCAGATAAAATGATAGAATAGATGAATGACAGGAAGACAGAAAGACAGATGGACAGCAGGCAGACAGACACTTAGTAAATTGATACATAGGTGGACATGGATGACACAACCTAAGAAGATGGACGGGAGCATAGATGTAGACAGGGAGTAGAGATGTGCACAAACGGACACACAATCACACAGACGGACACAAGGTAGCTACCTACGTGGGTGGATGGGTGGATGGATGGGTGGGTGGATGGGTGGATGGGTGGATGGGTGGATGGATGGATGGGTGGATGGGTGGATGGATGGATGGGTGGATGGGTGGATGGGTGGGTGGATGGATGGGTGGATGGGTGGATGGATGGGTGGATGGATGGATGGATGGATGGTTGGATGGGTGGGTGGATGGGTGGATGGATGGGTGGATGATGGATGGTGGATGGGTGGGTGGATGGATGGATGGGTGGATGGGTGGATGGATGGGTAGATGGATGGACGAATGTACTGATGGATACCCCACAGATACAGGTAGGAAGGTGGATGGAAGGGTGGATGCCTGTATTTATAGATGGCAGACACACTGACAGAAGGGAGCAGTTCATTTGGTTTACATGAGCAGATGTTAGAATTATCATTCTCTCCACCTTGGACACAGGTGCCTGACACTTGGTGGGGAGGCCTGTGCAGAGCCATAGACAAACTCCCCAATTCCTGCCTTTTTCTACATCAAAGTGAAGATGTCCAGGTAAACACTTGTGTCTTGGGCTCTCATGGACTCGGAAGGACTTGGAACAGAGCTTTTGCTTCAGCTGGGGGTCAACTTAGGGGTCCACCATGAGTGTATTTGTAACGCACTTACAAGCAAAATAAAAATGCAAAGGGCGAAAGGTATGTGAGCATCAGTCCCAGCACATGTGAAGGTCACTGGCCAGTGTCCCCGGGCCCTCCAGACCTGACCTGCTTAAGCCTCCATTGCCAGACATGAGAGCCTTTGTTGATACAGCCATTTGGGACAGTGGGTCGCCGTGTCCCCTGCACACAACGCAGGCTCCTTGCACCTGTAACTCTGGTCCCTCTCTAGGTAGGGAATTCAGCACAGTGTGGAAAGAAGACATCACGAATGATGCCCAAAGCTTGCATTTGTAAGCATGGAATTGTGGCTTTAAGTTTCTGCTGGGACTGTCTGGAGCAGAGGATGAACTCGAGCCCTGAGTCACCAAGACACCACTGCAAAAACACCGGCAGTGTCCAGAATGGGAATTCGGGAGAGAACACATCATTGCCTTCCTGGGACTCTGCACGCTCCCAAGTTACTGAATTGTTTTTGTTTTAAGATCTGATCTCACTGTGTTGCCCAGGCTGGCTTTGAACTCAATTTTCCTGCCTCACCCAACAGTGGCTGTGATTACAGGCGTGCCCTACCATGTGTGACTCCTAATCTGTACTTGGTGGATGTTGCTTTATGCAATCTATGTAATTCTGTACGTTGTTCCAGAAAGGGACAATGCTGGGGGGTTAATGGTTTAGTTAAGGGAGTCCAGGCCTTTAAAGATGGCGACAGACATTCGCGAGCGGTCGTTGTACGAGTGTGTGTGTTTTCTGTCATTGGACCCAGGTTCAATTCCCACCCCACCCACGGTAGAGTCAGAGGCAGGAGGGGAATGGCCGACCCCAAGGAGGTCGGGGTGCACTCACCCTGAAAGCATCTCAAAGACGAGGACGCCCAGCGCCCACCAGTCCACGGCCCTCCCATGACCCTTGCTTTGGATGACTTCAGGAGCCAGGTACTCAGGGGTTCCACAGAGCGTCCACGTCCTATGTGGGGAACAGACAGAACCCCAGAGAAATCAGCCATTGCAGTAACTCCACTGATCAACTAAAAAAAGTCCAACCACTAAGAATCCCACATGTGCTCCGTGTGTAAATTCACCTGTGCTCAGCGTGTGACGTGAAAATGCAAAATAGGCCAAATTCAGAAAACTCTGAAGCCACAGTGGAAAACGTCCGTCTCAAGCACGAAGTTATTTTAACACAAGGCAAGCTTATGTAAGGCGTCCACAAAAACAAAACCCACAAACGGATCCCCGTGTGCACGGGAGGCCCGGTCCCACTAAGGCTCCTTATTCTATGGGGGAGGGCTATTTGAAAAACCTGAACAAATCCAAAATCTGTGAGATTATTGCAATGGCTGACTTCTCTGGGTTCTATATACAAATGCATATATATACAGGCATTTTATTTTATATTTTACTTACCTATGTATATGCATATATACAAAAGTCACGGTGACACGCGCTAACGTGTGATTAACATGCACGAATGATTACACTTTTCAATGTAAAAAGAACTCACTCAGTCATCCCACAAGATGCATAAGGACCTACAGGTCAACCCGTTATGCAACAGTTAACCCCAGGAGAAGAAATCCAAAATGAGGGTGAATTTTCTCTGCACTTCACCTTCAAAAACCTGAAGGATTTTAACCCTTTTGGTGGTCCTTGTGCCTCAGCTAAGCTGTCACGCTAATTCCATAACCAGTCTTTGGAAATAGCCAAAGGCTGGCTGATGGTTAAGGGGCACTGGAATTTTTGTCTGTTTTTTAGTTCCAACAGGTGCTTTAGAAAAAGGACTTTCCTCCAGGCATGAATATGGCAAGCTTTGCAAACATCTCTGGCTTCTGGCACCACCTGCAGGACAGTGGCGGGAAGTGCCACCAGGAAGAGCCAAGAGGATTTGGAGCCGTTTGCTATTCTCTTGTCCTTTATCTATTTTTAGGATCTGAGTCTTCAAAAGGGTTGCGGGTGTTTGCATGGAGGGCGTTCATGCCTGGGTTGCCACCTTCTTTTTTTGTACTCCCCGTCGTTTCTTCCCTAACGCTCTTTTTATTGTAACATAACTTTGCATTTTCCATCCAATCCTGTGCATCCGAGATCTGTGTGTCATCATTGAACACCAGGACTCTCGTAAAATAAGAGGAAGTCCCCCAAACCTGTACTCCCAAGGTGCACACAAGGCAGCCTGCTGCCTTCTTCCCTTAGGATCAGCCATGTTCTGCCCGGCTGAAGAATTTCAAGCAAAAAATAGTACAGTATAAATGTTCTACTAGGTCGTTGTCCAGTTCTGCAGGGGATGCAAGGGTTTTCCATGTGGCCCTCGAGTGCATCTGTTCACCTGTGGTTATTCTGTCCACCGCCTGCACCAGACTTGTTCTTGGACTCCAGTGTCCAGGGCTTGACCCTGGACGCCCAGCCTGCAAGACTTGACCTTAGACTGCAGCCTCCAGGGCTATACCTTGGACTCCAGGAGTTGACCTTGGTGTCCAGCCTGGAGGACTTGACCTTGGACCCAGGACTTGACCTTAGACTCCAGCCTCTAGGACTCCACCTCACACAGCTCTCCCTCACCACAGGCCGAGAGCAATGGAGCCATGTGACCATGGACCAAAGCCTCCAAACCATGACCCAAAAATCGACCTTTTCTCCTTCTTTTGTCACAGTGATGGAAATCTTCAGCCCCCAAAAGAACTGAAACTGGGGCCTAGAGGAGACATTTTTACACCCATGTTCATAAGAGCACCATCCATGACACCCAAAGCAGGAAACAACGCAAGCGCCCGTGCCTGGATGACCGGACGACCAAAGTCCGGTCAATTTGCGCAGTGGAATAGTATGCAGCCATGAAAAGGAAGGGACTTCTGACACTGGCTCCAACGTGTTGGTAAGTGAAACAAGTCAGTCACAAAAGGACAAAGTCTTAGGATTCCCTAGAGTTGTACGGTTCACAGAAACAGATAATTAGGATGGTGGGGTCTGAGGATTGGGAAGGAGACATGGCGGACTTAGTACTTTATAGGGACATTTCCAGTTTGGGATGGACGTAGAGGTGGGTGTCCCTAATGGAAAGACAGAAGCAGGTTGAAGGTAAAGAAAGTCTGGAGAAGATAAAAGGGACCTCTCTTGGCAAAAGATGGACTCCATGAGGTGCACTTAGGGCTGGGGACTAGCTCAAGGGTGAGCATTTGTCTGGCGCTCATGGGACACTCTGCGAGGCAGGTCACCCAAGTGTCCCCATGAGGGAAAAACAAGGACACTGTCCCAAAGTCCCCTCCCCACCCTGCAGCCATGACAAAGAAGGTGCAGGTTGCACGATGACTACCAGAGCACACATTGCACCGAGGCCTGGTGCAACCAGTATGCGCTTGCTGCATGCAAACCAGCAGGGCGGAGAGGCTGCACCATGGATGCAAAGGTGGACCTCGGCTTAGGACTGGGGGCTGGGCTTTGCTCTTCCAGACAACCTGAGCTGAGCCGCGGTCATCGTCACCATCCTTTTTCCCTCTTTTGGGCTGCGTCTGTCTGCATGCAATCCAGTTGTGCACGGATTCGGGAAGACAAAAAGTGGATTAGAGTGACTATTTGAAAGTCTAGTACAGGGGCCGCCTCAGACGCTGCAGTGTCACAACCGTCTGTGACACGAGAGCAATGGAGGCTGCAGAGGATGCAAGGAAAGAAGGGAGAGCGAAAGGTGAGGTCTTCTCCCAGAATACAGGGGGAGACCTGTCCTCTCTGCAGCCACCTTCTGCACAGCTGGTCCCACATGGCGGCAGGGGTTCTTCCCGCCTGGACTGTGGTGCAGGAGCTGAGCTGATCTGGAAGTGACTTCTGGACAAATGCCAGGAGCTGCCATCTTTGAGGTCTGCCTTCAGGACAAGCCTGTGTCAGCCAGCGTTTGGGGACTGTGACAAAATGCCTGAGGTGACCTCGGTTAGAGGAGGGAAGGGTGGGGGTGGGGGTCGTGGTGTCACAGGTGACAGTCGGGGGGGCTCTGGGGTCTGGGGCGAGGCGGGGGGTCATGTCAAGTTATGGTGGCCAGGAAGGCGGAAGAGAGACAGAGAGAGAGAGTGAGAGAGAGATAGAGAGAGACAGACAGAGAGAGGGAGAGAGAGAGGGGGGGAGGGAGGGGGAGAGAGAGGGGAGGGAGGGGGAGAAAGAGAGGAGATGGAGGGAGGAAGGTGGGAGAAAGAGAGAGAGAGAGAGACAAAGAGGGAGGGAGAGAAAGAGAAAGAGAGGGAGGGAGAGAGAGAGAGAGAAAGAGGGAGGGAAGGGGAGAAAGAAAGAGACAAGGAGGGGGTGAGAAAGAGAGGGAGGGAGAGAGAGGGACAAAGAGAAAGTGACGGGGAGAAAGAGAGGGGGAGACAGTGGGGCAGAGAGACGGAGAGGGAAAGAGAGAGAGGGAGGGAGGGAGGGAGAGAGAGAGAGACAGAGAGAGAAAGAAAGGGAGAGAAGGGGAGAAAGAGACAAGGAGGGGGGGAGAAAAACAGAGTGAGGGAGAGGGAGAAAGAGAGAGAGTGAAGGGGAGAGAGAGAGCAAAGGAGAGAGAGAGCGAAGGGGAGAGAGAGAGTGAAGGGGAGAGAGAGAGTGAAGGAGAGAGAGAGTGAAGGGGAGAGAGAGAGAAGGGGAGAGAGAGAGTGAAGGAGAGAGAGAGTGAAGGAGAGAGAGAGCGAAGGAGAGAGAGAGGGAGAGAGAGAGAGTGAGGAGAGAGAGAGTGAAGGGGAGAGAGAGTGAAGGAGAGAGAGAGGGAGAGAGAGAGAGAGAGAGAGTGAAGGGGAGAGAGGGGGAGAAACAGTGGAGCAGAGAGAGACACAGAGGGAAGGAGAGAGAGAGAGAGAGAGGGCGGGAGGGAGACCATGGTCCTTATATCCTCTCCCAGGCCACGCCCCCTATGACCTCACTGCCTCGCTCTGCCCCACCTCTTAAAGGGCCCAGCACCTCCCAACAGCACCCAGCAGGACACGAAGCCTCCCACACCTGGACCCTTGGGATCCTCCCCCCTTCCTCGCTCGGCTCCCACAGACCCGAGTCCCCGTCGTCCGCCCTGTGCCGGGAGGTGACGTGACTCCATGTTGGACGTGTGGCTTGGTGGCCCCTCCAGGTGGCCTGACAGGAGCTGGCAGCCATGGTGTCGGCTGACCGCCGAGGTGGCCACAGGTGATGTTTAACTCACAGGCTGTGGCCTGGCCCGTGGTCACCCGCAGGTGGCTGTCCTTCTTGGCTGAGCAGGTGACACCTCTGAGCCTGGGCTGTATCGAGGGTCAGTTTGCAACTCACGCCTGGGTGCAGGCGTTTGCTTCTGCGGTGACCCCGAAGTCAGCCGGGCTGGGGAGATTTGGGGTGCAGGGAACGTGCAGGGGGAAACCGAGTCTCCTGGTGCAACTAGTGGATGACCAAAGTGTCCATCTATCTGTCCTCTTGTTCAGCTGGCCTTGGGGAAGAAGGAAGGAATGCATCCAAAAACGAAATAAAAGACACTCCTTGGGTAAGGCCACCCTCAGTTCACATGGAGTCCCAGTCATGATTCTGGAAAACCACACTTGAGGTAAATTTTACTTTGAAGTGTATTTTTTTATAGGATCAAATTGTGATTCAGCTGCTCACGCCTGTAATCCCAGCTACTTGGAGGCTGAGATGGGGAGGATCTGAGGTTCGAGGCCAGACTGGGTAAAAAGTGTGCAAGACCCCGTCTCAACTGATAGCTGGGTGCAGTGGTCTGTGCCTTTTGCTCTGGTTATTTGAGGTTTTTTTTTTTTTTGGGTGGGGGAGCTATTTGTTACTTTGGGAGTTATTTATTACACAATAAAAATATTTGGGAACTGTTTATCCAGGCTAACCTCGAACTGTGATCCTCCCCACCTCCATCTTTCAGGTAGCTGGGATTACAGGCATAGGCACCAGTACTCAGCAATGTAAACCAAAATTTTGGGGACAGAATTCTTACACGTGTCCACAGGAAGGGAAGACTCTATGCCCGCACAGCATTAAAATACGTGTTGACCGACACAAGTGCTATGGATCACTTGAATATCTAGACGTACACAAGAAATAATATACCTCAATTTCCTCCCATTTCGCCTCAAGTCTAACTTTACGAGTTTTCCTCTCTAGAAATTGCACAGAACACAATTTTACAGCCGTGTTCACAGCAGCGTTGTTCACGACACCTCAAGAAGGGAGCAAAGCGAGCGCCAACACTTAGATTAGCAGATACCCAAGAAATCTGGTCTGTTCATACAGTGGAATATTACACGGCTGTGAAAAAGGAAGGGAACTCTGACACATGCTCAAGTCAGCCACAAAAGCACAAACTCTTACAAGTCCACACGGCACGGAGCTGATGCAACTGTGTGTGGGACGATGACACAAATGCCCTATCCTGGATCACTGGGGTGCATTAAAACTCAGTTTATATTAAACCATGCAAGTTTTCCCGCATAATTTTGTCGAGACTTTCTCATGTTTTCGCAGGGCTGGGATTTAAACCCAGGGCCTCACACACACGAGGCAGGCAATGATTACTGACCTACACCCCAAGTCCTTGGTTTTTTGGGACAGGTTCTCACTATACAGACCAGGCTGAGCAGGAACTCAATACACAGCCCAGGCTGGTTTCGAACTCATGACCCTCCTGCCTTGGCCACCTAAGGGCTGGGATTACAGAGGCATGCTACCATGCCCGGTTTAAAATTATTCTTAAGGACAGCAAGAATAATTTCTGGTGGCAAACATGTTAATTTAAGAATAATGGGTTGGGGGGGTGTAGCTTAAGTGGTAAAGTGGTGGCCTGTCAGGTACCAGGTCTTGGGTTCAGTCCCCAGCACTGTAAAAAAAAAAAAAGAAAACTTTAAAAAAGGACCAGCATATAACATAGCCCAGCAATCCATCTTCGGGGTGAATATCCAGAGGAAACCAGTATTTTAAAGAAATATGTGTACAGTAGACCCCAGGGTCACAGGGCAGCCTGTGTGCTACAGGAACACACAAAGTGTGTAGCATCCTCTCAGTCACTAAAAACACTGGAAAAAAATATAGGGACAAGTGAGTATTTGTCAGCCTTAAAAATGGAGCACATCCTCTATTGGTCCCCAGCTGATGGTGCTACGGGCAGGTGGTGGGTCCTTTAAAAGGTGGAGCTTAGTGTGAGGAAGTGAGGTCACAGGGGCGTGGCCTGGGGGGAGATTGATGGATACATCACTTAATGGCTTATTAGTAGGTGGTGGAGCCTTTAAGAGGTGGGGCCTGATGGGAGGAAGTGAGGTCACTGGGGGCATGGCCTTGAGTGGCCCACAGCATGCTGCTATTGGGAGGTGGTGGATACTTCAAGAGGTGGGGCCTGATGGGAGGAAGTGAGGTCACTGGGGGCGTGGCCTGAGGGGAGATTGATGGCTACATAACTTAATAGCTTCTTAGAAGGTGGTACAGCTTTTAAGAGGCAGAGCCAGGTGGGAGGAAGTGAGGTCACTGGGGGCGTGGACTCCGAGGGGGACATTAGGACCCTAGTCTCTTCTCTTTGCTCCATGGCCCCCACGATGTGAGCAGCTTTGCTCCTCCACCTGCTCCCACCATGACGCTCTGCATCACCAAGGCCCTAAGCCATGGAGCCCAGTGATCATTGATTGACACCCTGACAACCATGACCCCAAATCAACCTTCTCCTCTTTTTAAGTTGGCTATCTCAGGTGATCTGTCACAGCCACAGAAAGGTGACTCACACACCTGTGATGGCAATAAGAAGGATGGACGTGGAGGACATCGTAGACAGATGATGGATGACTGATAGGTAGATTGATAGGTGACTGATAGGACTGATAGGTGATAGATAGGTGGTTGATTGATAGGGGGTAGATGGTTGATAGTTAGATTGATAGGCGATTGATAGATTGATAGGTGATTGATAGGCAGACAGGCAGGTGATAGATCAATAAAGATAGAGACACATAAAGATATATTTATTGAGACAGACAGACACACAGATAGGTACATTGCGTATCTGAATGTGTGCACACAAGGACATCATGGTCCACATTTTAAGATTGGGGACAGTGACAGTACTGTGTCACCAGCAGGAGGCTCTGAGTTCAAGTCCCAGCACCACCAAAGAAAGACATAAATATGAAAACGAAGAAGCAACGCCGATAAGGACGTGGACAGAGGGAGGGGAAATGACCAAGGCTCCACACGGAACACCAAAGATGAAGCCAGGCACGGAGGCTGACGCCTCTAGTCCCAGCTGTGCAGGAAGTGGACGTAGCGGTAGCACACAAGCCCACAGGCAAGCCGTGCTTCCCTACAACCGATCCAACCATGGCAAGGTCGCCATGTCACACCTGTCCCCACCTGGTCACAGCTGGCCAGCACCCCAGCCGTCCCACCCTGAGCCACACGGCCCAGGCGCACCTGTGTCAGGTTCCCCCTTACCTGTCCACCAGCTTCTTGGCGAAGCCAAAGTCGGTGAGCTTGATGTGGCCGTCGCGGTCCAGCAGGATGTTCTCCGGCTTCAGGTCCCGGTAGACGATGCCCTTGGCGTGCAGGTGTTCGATGGCACACACGATCTCGGCAGTGTAGAAGAGCCCGGTGGCCGAGGGGAAGCAGCCACGGTTGCGCAGGTAGGTGAACAGCTCCCCGCCTGGCACGAACTCCATCAACATGTAGAGAAAGCGGTCGTCGTGACACGTCCAGAACCTGCCAGGGACACCACGGCGTGGGGACAGGGGTTAGGGTGCGGAGGGCAACAGGTGCACTGGACCCCAGAATGGGGGTCCAGGGGGCAGTGGGGTTCAGAGATGAGAAGACACTGGAACAGAGGTCCAGGGGGTTCGACCGAGATTGACTCCAACGGTGCATGTGGTGCATGCAGAATGGGGACACGGCAGTGACCTGAAGCTGTAAGGACAGACGGCCTCTGTCCAGGGCCGGGCAGCAGAGGGAGGAAGGAAGGAACAGGCAGAGGGTTAGGAGGGTGAACATGGTGGTGGGTTGTGTGGTCAGGCCTGAAAGTAGAAGAAGGGGACCGGTTCAAGTGTTCTAAGCTGGGGACAGGGAAGTTGGGGACAAGGGTGGACGGGGTGGATCTGAGTCAGATACGGTGCAAGCGCCTATGTGACTGTCACAAGGGAACCCCACTTTTAAGATGGACAGACGTCAAGGTGCGTAGAATGACGTGTGGATGCTGGAGGTGTGCTCGTTGGGATGCGCTTGTCAATGGCGGGTGTCAACCCCATTAAGGAACAGACAGACGGAAGCTGTCCTGGGTGACTGGAAGGATGGATACATACATAGATTGACAGATGATCAATTAGATGATATAAATAGACAGAAACATTGATGGATGGATGGATAAAGAGACAGAGAGACAGACAGATACATGATAGGTAGATAGGAAAATATGACGCACTGTTTTCTGTGTGTACAGTGTCCCTGAAGTCACATGTGTTGCTGGCTTGGTCCTCCACGTGTCACCACTGAGGTGACAGAACCTCTAAAACATGCAGTTTCATGGGAGGTGGCTGGCCAGTGGGTGTTCTCAACTTGTCTGGGGACACTGCCCACAATGGACCACCAAAACGAGTGAATTATTACCCCAAAAAAAGAGCAAATAGCTACAAAAAAGCAAGTCTGGTGCTTGAACGTGTGTGGCTTCCAGCGTTACCATGGAAACTTGATTCACACCCCCCACTGTGAAGTCATCCACCATATTTTGTGCAAACAGACAACACACCAATGGGCCACCCAAGCTTGAATTTCCCACCCCAAAACCTGCCACCTAAATACAATTTCCTTTCTTTTGGCAGTAGTGGGTTTTGAACTCGGGTCCTCACGCTTGCTAGGCAGGGACCCCATAACTTAAGCCCCATCCCCAGCCCTTTTTACTCTAGATATTTATCGGGCATAATAGACTACTTGATGCCTTCAAGTATCAAGTAGTTCAGATGACAGAAGTTAGCCGCCATGCCCGGCTGGTCTTTTCTTTACAGAAAGGAGAAATGTAGCAATACAATTATAGACATGGGCTAGAATTTAAGTATAAATGGATAAACGCAAACGTGGTGACAGTTGCATATTAATATAGGTATTAGATAGATATCTAAATAGATGTTACAAAGCATAGGTAAACTGAGTATAGTACTGCATGCCTGTAATCCCAGCACTGGGGAGGATGGTGAATTGGAGGGCAGCCTGCACTACACAGGAAGACCTGGTTCCAAAAATTAAATAAATGAAAAAAGAAGAGCGAGATGTGACTGCAGGTAGAGGTATGGGGACAGACAGACGTTAGGATGTGGAGTAGACAGATGCTGTCTTTGACCTCTGTGGACAGTCAAGCATCCTGACGATTGAGAGTCTGCTGAGGTTGGTTCCATTCCTGACCTGGGACACCTGCTCCTGTGTCCTCACAAGACTGAAGGACAAAGGCGCTCACCCGGCCTGTTTTATAAGGTCACTGGTCCCAAGTCAGGGCTTCCTGGAGTCCCAATGGCCCCAGATTTCGGTTCTTGGGATTTCGACATAGGAATTTTGGGGCGACACAAACATGGAGACGTAAGAGGAGTGCGGACGTTGTGAAGCAGGTTGAAGGTGAAATGCTGGATCAGGTCAGGAATAAATGATCGCAATCTGGCATTGAACCTGTTAACACAGAGAGCCACGGGCTAGATTGTGTCGTCACCCCACAGGACACACAAATTCCTATGCTGACCCCTCACCCCCAGGATCCTAGTGTTTGGAGACGGGGTCTTTAAAGAGGTGACAGAGGTAAAATGAGGTCACTAACACGGATCCTAGTCCAACAGGACTAGGGGACAGGAGGACACAGACACACACAGAGGGACGACCCTGTGAGGACACAGGGAGACCAAGTCTACAAGCCAAGGATGGAGGGCTCAGGAGGAGACGGCCTTTGACTGTGACCTTGACTCCAGCCTCCAGGACTTGATCTTGGACTCCAGGACTTGACCCTGGACTCCAGCCTCCAGGACTTGACCTTGGACTCCAGGACTTGACCTTGGACTCCAGCCTCCAGGACTTGACCTTGGTCTCCAGGACTTGACCTTGGACTCCAGCCTCCAGGACTTGATCTTGGTCTCCAGGACTTGACCTTGGACTCCAGCCTCCAGGACTTGACCCTGAATTCCAGGACCTGACCTTGGACTCCAGCCTCCAGGACTTGACCTTGGACTCCAGGACTTGACCTTGGACTCCAGCCTCCAGGACTTGACCTTGGACTCCAGGACTTGACCTTGGACTCCAGCCTCCAGGACTTGACCTTGGACTCCAGGACTTGACCTTGGACTCCAGCCTCCAGGACTGGGAGGCAGCAAATGTCTGTTACTGAGGCTGCCTAGGCTGTGGGATTTTGTTGTGGCAGCCGAGCGGGGTGATATACAACACACACGCATCTCCTCAGGGCTCAGTCGCTCTGGAAACGTGATCAAGACTAGAAAATAACAGGCAATTAACAGAATGCTTCACAAGTCAGCTGGGGAAAGGCGGCCATTTAAAAGCCCTAAATAAAACATAGGACTGTCCCCAAGAGAGACTTAGGTGAACATGGAGTCCCTGCCAGGTGTTGAGGAGCTCAGTAATGGGAGAAAAGTGAGCAGGGAGACCTTGCAGATAGCTAAAAGGAGAGATGCCAGAAAAACAGGAGAGACTCAGATCCTTTCTGCTTTAGGACTAGCAAAGGAAAAAGCAGCAAATACATTCTGGGGAGGTTTTGGGCTTTAATAGTCCCACGAGGAGATGAGGGGAAGACAGAGGGGGGCTTTGAACATCCTGGCTGTGTCACTCGTGTGTCCCTGTCCCAACAGTCACACCTCAGCCAAGACCAAGCCCTTAACCAGGACCTCAACCGAGATTTTACCCACGACCAGGTAACAGTCGTCAGCGGGGATCAGGATGCAGGTGTGACAGGAGTTCTGGATGTGAGTGAGACAGGCAGGGTGAGGTGACGGGTACAGGCCAAGAGGTGTGTGAGGATGCCTGCCAGAATGTGGGTGCAGGTGGGTAATGGGGTATAGAGAGGCCAACAGGTGCACAGGGATGGGTGTTATATGGGTGGGTATTGGGGTACAGAGATGCCAGCAGGTGCACATGGATGGGTGTTATATGGGTGGGTATTGGGGTACAGAGATGCCAGCAGGTGCACATGGATGGGTGTTATATGGGTGGGTATTGGGGTACAGAGATGCCAGCAGGTGCACATGGATGGGTGTTATATGGGTGGGTATTGGGGTACAGAGATGCCAGCAGGTGCACAGGGATGGGTGCTAGAGTAGGGGTACAGGTGGGTATTGGTTAGAGATACAGGAAAGAAAGAGTGACTGTAGAAGTCACCCATGTGCTCATGTCCCAATAATTACACAGGAAATTCACCTAGTAACTCACCATCACCAGAAGGACGGAGGGGACACGGAAGATGAACTTAACCAGGGTCAGAAAATAACTCAATGCTTGCCCAAAAGTAGGACCTCCACCAAGACCACGACCTCAACCGAGATTTGCACCATGACCAGGTTAACGGTCACCAAGAAGATGGGGAAGGGACACATGGAAGACTTTCACCATGACCAGGCTGTGTGTCCATGCTCGCCCAAGTCTGGCATTTCAACCAAGACCAAAATCTCAACCAAGCCTTAGTCAACACTTTACCCGTGATGATAACTAAAACCGAGACCACAAGTAAAGAAAGACGGCCAAGTCCACGACCGCCACCAATGCCGCCATGTCTACCAAGACCTTAACCAGGACGACTAGGACACGTGTGTCCTGCTGTTTTCTCCCATGATTGCAGCTACCCAAAGCCCGTCCCAACAAAGTGCCATCGGCCTGATTTATGTGGGAAACCCCACCGACACCACCACCACCACCACACAAACAAAAATAGAAAACCATAGCCAAGAAATCCATCACGTTCAGAAGAGGACGGGATGGTTGGGTCTACCAGATGTCTGGTTTTGTGGCCTTTCCATGGGAATAAAATAATGCAAAATGGAGGGAAAGCACACAACAAAATGATTTGCTATGACCCAGAGCGAGTCTGAGCAGGCAGACGCGGCGGGGTGCGTGGATTTGGGGGAGCCAGCCTCCTCCTGCAGAAATGCACGGACACACGTCCGCCGGTCTGCAGCTGGTCTGTCCATCTGCCCCAGGGTGGATCCTGCAGTGATTACGTCCAGGCTGGCCAGGCTGAGGCAGGTTAGACTTACGGAAACTCCAGGACCTTATAAAACATATGACTTAATGTCCTGTTTCAGATTGAATATTCCTTTCCTTCTCTGAGCCTTTTTCCAATTGCAGACGTTTGTAGGTTGTGCACACCCGAGCTCAGGGACAAACTCAAACCCCCCTCACCTGCCTCAGGGACCTCCCATGGGTCTCCCCACTCACTGATTATTGACTGGGAATCACCATCCCATAGGGTCTGCCCTGCCCGCAGGTAAGCATGAGTTTGAAAAGCACTGGAAAAGAGGAAGACGCTCTCTCTGCCTCCAGCTTCCACGGACAGAAACACCTAGTAGATATGCACGTTCTTTCTCACTTATAACCAAGATTTTGAGTCACTTTCTTCTGTCCCAATGCCCTGCTTTTCTGCCTTGCATCACGACTGCCATGGCAAGACCAGGCCTTCTGGTGATGTTTTAAGATGAAATTCAGATTATTTCAAATGCGTAAGGCAAGCTGCAGGTGAGCTGAACCAGACTTCCCTTGTTCTGGAGTGCATAACACTCCTTGCTGCACATCACATCCTCCTGGGGAATTTCAACAAGAAATGTCTGTGACCTGGTAGCTTTCTGGGTTTTCTTAGAGCAGGGCAGATGTTCAATTTGTGGGGTCAGCAAAGATGCGGGGTCAGCTCTGACTACTGAAAAGACCTTAAGTGCTTGCACTATGCCCGAGAGACAGCACGACCATTTTCTGTAACAATTTGCTTGAAAAAGCAGGAGAACCCACACAGCCTTACGTTACCGAGCTCTCTGGTCCCTAGGGCAAAATACACGTGAAAACTACTGAGGGGAAGAAGGAATTACTCAGCCATGGTTTGGTTTCAGAACAATTGGGCCATGGTTAATTGGCCCCATGCATTTGGGCAGAACATCATGGCAGCAGTAGCATGTGGAGGAGGAGGGACTTCCTCTCAAGTCGGACAGGAAGTAGAGAGGAACAGCTGAGTCATGGAGGACAGGAAGTAGGGAGGCAGCTTAGTCATGGCGGACAGGAAGCAGAGAACAGTTTAGTCATGGAGAACAGGAAGTAGAGAGGAACAGCTGAGTCATGGAGGACAGGAAGTAGAGAGACAGCTTAGTCACGGTGGACAGGAAGCAGAAAGGATCAGCTTAGTCATGGTGGATCATGGTGGACAGGATTGAAGATCTCTGGCAAGGTGCTTACAGACACACCCAGAGCTGTGCTTCTCAAATGTCCTAGGGTTTCTCAACCCACTCTAGCTCATGCTTGAGATTCACCACCACACCGCCATTGTTCCCCCAGAAAACACTCAAGTCACGGTGAAAACGCCAACAAAGGCCTTGGGTGCTCATGACAGCCGCACCTCTCCGTCCAACCCAGGGCAACACTGACTGACACTCATCCCAGATCCTCTTAACAACAGTGATGCTTGACGTGGACTTAACGCAGTTCAAACTCACCCACCAGGAGCCTCTGTGATAATTAACAACTGTAGGCAATTAGCACCAGGAGGTGAGGAATGAAAGACCTTTCAAGAAGAAGCAAGTAAATGGAGCCATCATCCCCTAACACTTTTATGATGGAGACCTCGGGATACAGCAGCGGGTCAGACATCACAGATTCAGTCAACACTCCTGTGATGGAGACCTCGGGAAACAGCAGCGGGTCAGACATCACAGATTCAGTCAACTGGGTTCCAGGTGAAGATGCAATTCCATGCATCACTCTAGGAAAAGAATCAGGCTTCCTATTAAATATAATAACTAAATAAACAGTTTTTTCAAGAGGCTAGTGAGTAGAACCAGGGGCGGGGCACTGGTGACTCACGCCTGTAATCCCAGCTGCTTTGGAGGCTGAGATCAGGAGGATCAAGGTTCGAGGCCAGCCTCAATAGTCCAGGCCACCTGGACAATAAACGAGACCCTGAAAACATCTCCAAAGTAACCAGGGCAAAAGAACTGGAGGTGTGGATCAAGGGGCAAGGCACCTGCCTAGCAAGGGTGAAGCCCTGAGTTCAAACCCCAGTACCACCAAAATCATCTTACCAAGAGGTGGTAAGGATGGGTGGCATGGGTGGAATGGGGTGGCATGGGGACGTCCAGCTCAGGGTCCAGTGGGTTTGTGGACGCCAGAAATGCACAGAACAGAAAAGGAAGGTGAATCGTCATGGAGGTGGACCACAGGGTGAAGGGACGCTGTTCTCCACCATGGGGAAATTGTGTCATGGTGTCAGGCCTGGCGTGTTTGCAGGACAGACGCCCTGATGTCCTGCACACCGCGGGACTCCCGTGTGCACAGGGGATGCACACCACCGTGAGGTCTGTTCGCACGGTGGAACCGTACTCGGTCCTCAAAAAGGAAGAGAATGCTGACACATACGTCTAGGCTGGAGTTGGAGGGTGGTGACCCTGTCCTCCAGGTTGCAATTAACCTGACACCGGACATAAAAACAAGGCGAAAGCCGCCTGTGTGGCCCGACCTCCATCGCTTTGGGCAATCTGAGACCTTCCCATTTACAACACGGCTCCGAGGCAACCAGCTGCGATGTCCCCAAGGTGACCTTGGTGACATCCATCCCCACGGGTCTCCTGTGCTTGGAGGAAGGCAGAGACCAGGAGGATCACAGTTCGAGGTCAGTTTGAGCAAAAAGTTTGGGAGACCCCATCTCAACCAACAACTGGAGTGGTGGTGCACGTCTGCCATCCTGGCTCTGTGTGAGGGAGGGCCCTGAGTTCAAACCCCATACCTCCAGTAAATTAATTCATTACGAATTAAAAAGTCAAGAGGAACAGATTTCACCCTCGGGTCAGCTGATCGCATCGTTCTGGGACTCAGGACAGGCCAAAGGTCATGGCATACACAGGGTGTGCGATCAACTCTCAATGGCCAGGAAACACGGGGAAGTGAATCAGAGAAGTCCAGGATCCTACTTATCCCTACCAGTTCCAAATCCCATTTTCCATGACCTCCCAAGGACGCCATCTTGGTATCGGTCAACCATGGGTGAATCCATTGAGTAGGTCAGAGGCTTCGTGGTCTCATCACTGCCCCAAAGTCCCCTCAACGGCAAGCCTTGAACCCATGACCCTGGGGCGACACCAAGTCCAAACCATAAAACAGTCACAGAACCCAGGGGTGAGGACACCCCAAGACAGGTTTTTACGAAAAAGAGTTCACCCGACAACATGGTGTCCAGATCACGGTGATGGAGGGAGGGCTCAGTGTGGAGGACTGACAGACACGGGGTCTCCACATTGCACAGAAAGTCAACCGCCCCCCCCAGCCGGGAGGTAATGCCTATGTAATCCTAGCTACTGGGGAGGCCGAGCCTGGGAGGATCGTGGTTAGAGGCCAGCTTGGGTAAGTAGTGCACGAGACGCATCTGCTGACCACGTGCAAAGCCCTGAGGTCAAGTCCCAGAGCCACCAAGACCACAGGTGGGCCCATTAGGAGATGGCTCCATTGTCACGGGTGCCATGAGAGGTTTCATGGATGTCCTGCCTTGTCCGCCATGTGCCAACCTCATGAGAAGGCACCATCTTTGAAACAGAGCCCACGTCAACTGTAGCCCTAAATCTATAAATATATTGATTACCCAGTCGGTAGCACCCCAAATGGACTAAGTCAAAACAAGACCCCTTGGTTAAATGTTGGGCGAAAAATTTGTAGGCCATCCCAATGGGACGATCTAACAGTCACTCTACAACCCACAAAATGGCGGCAGGTCATGCCATCAAGTCTATGTGACCAAAGTCACAGCTGGATGTGAGGACAAAGGGAGGTGACAGACTCACAGCTGGACGACAAAGGGGTGGGTGACCTCCTGCAGGATGCCCTTCTCGTTCTGGACGTGCTGCTCCTGCTTCAGCCGGATGACCTCCGGGATGCTCATGACCTTGAGCGCGAAGAAATGCTCAGCCGTCTTGTCCTTCACCAGGTGGACGCGACCGAAGGTCCCCGTGCCTGAGGGGACAGAGGGACAGACGGACAAGCGGTGAGGTCGGGGGCTGGGGCACGCGGGGAGCAGAGGAGCTGCTGGGACCTGGATGTGATGTGGGGTCATGACAGGTGAACTGAGGTCCCATAGAGAGAGGGGGACAGGGACGGGGGTGACAGAGAAAGAGAGAGAGAGGAGAGAGAGAAAGACAGAGAGGGAGAGAGGAGAGGGAGAGAGAGAGAGAGGAGAGAGAGAGACAGAGAGGGAGAGAGGAGAGAGAGGGAGAGGGAGAGAGGAGAGAGAGAAGGGGGAGAGAGAAGGGGGGAGGGAGACAGAGATGGAGGGAGAGAGAGAGAATGAAAGGAAAAGAGAGAGGGAGAGAGAGACAGAGTGAAAGAGAAAAAGAGAGAGGAGAGATACAGAAAGGGGAGCGAGCGAGAGGGGGAGAGAGAGAAAAAGAGAGAGAGAGAGAAAGGGTTAGGGAGACAGAGAGGGAAGGAGAAAGGGAGAGAGAGAATGAAAGAGAAAAAGAGAGAGGAGAGAGAGGAAGAGAGAGAGGGAAAATGAAAGAGAAAAAGAGGGAGGTAGAGAGAGGGAGGGAGAGAGATGAAGAGAGAGAGAGAAGCAGGGAGGGAGACAGAGATGGAGGGAGGAAGAGAGAATGAAAAGAGACAGGGAGAGAAACAGGGAGAGAGAGACACAGTGAAAGAGAAAAAGAGAGAGGAGAGAGACAGAAAGAAAGGTGACCGAGAGAGAGAGAGAGAATGGGTGAGGGAGACAGGGAGGGAGGGAAAAAGTGTGAGAGAATGAAAGAGAAAAAGAGAGAGGAGAGAGGAAGAGAGAGAGAGGAAGAGAGAGACAAGGGAGAGAGAGGGAGAGGGAAAATGAAAGAAAAAGAGGGAGGTAGAGAGAGGGAGTGAGAGGAAGAGAGAGAGAAGCAGGGAGGGAGACAGGGAGGGAGGTAGAGAGAGAGACAATGAAAGAGGAAAAGAGAGAGGAGAGAGGAGAAGAGAGAGAGAATGAAAGAGAAAAAGAAAAGGAGAGAGAGGAAGACAGTGAGAGGGGAGAGAGAGAGAGGGAGAGGGAAAATGAAAAAGAGAGAGGGAGAGAGACAGGGAGAATGGAGGAGGTTGGGAGGGAGGTTAGGAAAGGGGGGAAAAGACACATGGAGAGAGGGAGACACCAGGGAGGGTGGATGAAAGAGAAAAAGAGAGGAGAGAGAGAGAGAGAGAGAGAGAGAGAGAGAGAGCGAGCAGATCACTTGACCTAAAAAGGGGGGGGGGGGCTTTCAATTTTCTCCTAACCGGATCCCTATTTCAGGGACATAAGTGGACAGACTGAAATTGGGGTTTTAGACCAAGCTCCGGTGATCCAAATGCCAGGTGTGGCCACCGCCCCTAAACCCCAAATAAAGGGACATTAGTGGTGAAGGGGGAGGAAGGGGGCTCGTGACGCGGCTGGGGACATGGGGAGAGGCAGAGGGGCCCCCAGCCCATCCTCGGCCATCTTTGGGGTGCAGGCGTGAGCTGTGGGTTCAAGTGGATAGAGAATTAGGGACGGGGACCAAGGTGTGCCAGGTAAGCAGTCACAGTATAATCTGCCAGTGCCATATTAACCATATTAGCTTAGCTAGAAAGGCAGGAATTAGGCCGGTCTGTAAGGAAAGCACCCCGTGTAAAAAGTCGCTTGGTTGCAGCCCGGCGTGGTAGCACACACCTATAATCCCGGCATTTGGAAGGCTGAGGCAGGAGGACCAAGAGGAAAAAAAATGACCAATTTTTTAAAAAAGATATTCTGGGTTCTTACGCATCTGTGAAAGTCTTCATTACGTCCACTTTTCAATGGCATTACGCTTTTCTTTGTGACAATTCTATCAGCACATTTTCATTACACAAGGGGTTTTATTGTCAGATTTCCATGTTTACAATCTATCTGGGTTAGCACCATCCTATTAAGTGCACCCGAACTTCCAGGACAAACCCCAGTGTGACACCGTAAATACTATTTTGCACATTGCATTCTTTTCTCTCAGTTAAGTGTATACCAGAAATATTTTCTACAAGTCTATATAGTAACAAAATTTACTACCCATTGCTAAATCCTACAGAAAAAAAAAAAAAAAGAGAGAGAGAGATTATGGCCAGGCACTGGTGGCTACCCCTGTAATCCCAGCTACTTGGGAGGCTGAAATTGGGAGGATCGTGGTTTGAGGCCAGGTCGAGCCAAAATTTAGGGAGACCCCATCTCAACCAATGAAAGCTGCTTGCCATCTCAAACTACCTTGGAGGCTGAGATAAGGAAGATCATGGCTCCAGACCAAGCCAGGGCAAAAAAGAAAAAAGACCCCTAAAAAGTGGACAATGGATGTCACCCAAAAATGTGCTCCTTGCCCTAACAGGGACCTTTGGGCAATCAAAGTCATGTGATTATTTTATTTTGTACGTCAAGATTCCTCATAGGAGGGAAGATAGGAAGATGATACAGATTGATAGATGGTAGAGAGGGGATTGATAGGACAAGCAGATGATAGACAGGCCAAATGGGAGGAAGTGATGTCATGGGGGCGTGGCCTTGAAGGGGCCATTAGAACACAGCTACTTCCTGTGTGTCTCACTTCCTGTGTGTCTCACTTCCGGTCTGTTTCACTTCCTGTCTCTGTCTTTCACTTCCTGTCTCTTTCACTAGTTGAGCTGCATCCCACCCAGGCATTTCCTCCATCTTCTTCTCCCTGGACACTGTCCCCAAAGCAACATGTTCAGGTGACCATGGCCTGCAGACTCTGAAAACCTTGAGCCAGGAGACACCTTCCCTGCTTTTCAGTCGATGAACACACTTATTTGGCCACAATGACAGAAGGTTGATTGGCAGTAGACTTTCAGTCTCTGTGCCTTGATGGCTCTGCCATTGTCCCCAAGCTTAAGGTGTCTCTGTTGCCCCTCACCCCATCCCCACCCCTCAAGTTGCAATCACCAAACCCAACCCTGCACACTCAAGCGCATGCCAGAGAACTCAGGACCTGACCTCCATCAGCCACCCAAAGGAAGGGCCCGACCATCCTAGGGTTGCAAGGACCTTCCACCTTCTCAGCCCCGTCTGTCTGGGTGGCCACATCCAACCCTACCAGTGCACAGCCCCTGTGACGCACAAAGTGACCCAAGGCGACGTCAACCATTTCAAATCAGGTGGTCAGGAGGTGGGCCTCCATGTCTTCTTCATGACATGCTTCACCCCATAAAATGCCCCAAGTGACACCTTGGAGCAGGAAGGTGACACCCACAACCAGTGCTGCCCCATAAATGGTGACACCCGTTACCACCGTGCACCTGACATTGTCAATAAAAGGCAGGAAGAAAGGGTGGGCTGTAACTCAGCACCTGCCAAGTGTGCTGGAGCCATTTGTTCTCTTCTGTCCTGCTCAGATGGCCCCAAATCCCGACCAGTCTTTCCCTAAGTGCTTTAATGATGTGCTGCACACAAGGCAGGTCAGAATGGGGGACGTGGGGTCACTTCCCCACCCTACAGACGCTCGGGGCAGAAGCACGCCCTCAACTCCTGAATAGGATGGCTTCGAGTATTTTTCTACATGGTGACATGGAGGAAGAAAAGGACCGGCCATGTTGATCCCAAATTCTGCTTGTGTGCTATGGTTGGGGTGGGGACTGTCCCCAGGGGTCACCCATGGGAGGTTAGCAGCTGGCGAAGAGGTGGGACCTAGAGGAAGATGTTTGGGTCAAACTGAAGAAACCTTGTTTTCTCCATAAGTGGTCGGGCTCAGGTATTTTGTGTCAGTAATGAAAAGCGAGTTACTACTCCGAGTGTCAGTCAGCTTTCCATCACGGTGACAAAATCCCGAGAGAAATCAAATTAAAGCAAGAAAGTTGCTGAGTTTCATCTCAGCAGCCCATTCAGCTATGAGTCCATCAATGGATCAATCCACTCAACTATGAACCCATCAATGGATCAATCCATTCAGCAATGATTCTATTGGATTAATTCAATCAACTATCAATCCAATGGATTAATCGATTAAGCTATTAGTCAATCAATGGATTAATCCATTCAGCTATGAGTCTTATCAATGGATCAGTCCATTCAGCTATGATAGCTAGGGGTTAATCCAATCAAGTATAAATCCGATGGATTAATCAATTAAGCTGTTAGTCAATCAATGGATTAATCCATTCACCTATGACTCCATCAATGGATGGATCCATTCAGTTTTATATCCAATGGATTAATTCAATCAACTATCAATCTAATACATCGATCTACTCAGCCATGAGTCTATCAGTGGATGAATCCATTCAACTATGAGCCCATCAGTGGATCAATCCATTCAGCCATGACTCCTATGGATTAATCCAATCAACTATAAATCCGATGGATTAAATGATTAAGCTATCAGTCAATCAATGGGTAAATTCATTCAGCTATGCATCCAATGCATTAATTCAATCAGCTACCAATTCAACCCATTCACCTATGAGTCCATCAATGGATCAATCCATTCAGCTATGTATCCCATGGATTAATTCAATCAACTATCAATTCAATCCATTCGCCTGACTCCATCAATGGTTCAGTCCATTTGGCTATGAGTCCATCAATGGATGAATCCATTGATGAGGTCAGGCCCCTCAAGATCCCCTCACTGCCCAAAGTCCCCGCCATCCACACAGGAGCCTTGCAGGCACAAAGTCCTGAGTTCAAACCCCAGGACTGGCAATAAAAATGAAGAGATAAAGAGAATCCTTCAGGGTAAAAGTCTAGAGCCTTTCACCTTTGAGCAATCCTAAAATAGAAGATTGGTGTTCCTTGCCGGGCAAAGGGTAAAGTCCCCAAGCGGGTGGTGATTAGGCTGTGTGTGCAGACAGAGTTCAAAGTCATAATTAACCCTAATAAACCTTCCCACATCCACAGCAACGTTTATAGCTGTGTGACCCGGTCACGGGGAACAGCACACAGCCTTTTATTGTTAATGGGTTTCCTGGTTTATGGACGTCCACTAAACCAGGGCTGTCCACTCTGCCAGTTATTTATACGTTTTAATTTTGGCAGTACCGGGATTTGAACTCGGGGCTTCCTCCTTGCTACAACGCTGCTCTACCCAGCCTTTTGGATTGGTTGAGGTATTTTTCAGGCAGGGTGTCCCCCTTTTCACCTAGTCCAGGCTAGGACTGACATTCCCCCATCTATGCCTTCTATAAAGGAGAGGTGGCAAGAGATATGCCTGCAAAAACTCAGGTCATCATAGAACGACTGCCGGACGTACAGGAGCAGCTGCCTTGCAAGGGCGAATCCATGAGTTCAAATCCCAGTACAAGGTAAAAAAAAAAATTGTGGTTTTGTGGTTGGCTTTTTTTTTGGGGGGGGGAGGGGAAAATACAGAGGAAAGCCCCAGTGTCTCCATCCTCAAGAAAATGAAAATGTTTTAGTTGGATCACAAACATGTTAATGCTATAAAAATCGTCTGTGCTTAGAAGTTTGTTGATGACTTCAAGATGTAGAACTGAAAGCAGCAAGGGATTTCAGTCTGGGTGACCCGTTCTTTGGTGGGGGGGGGTCACCCTGTCACCTCCCACCATGGACAGATGGCCCTGGCTAAATATTTGGGACTGCAAGCCATCCCATATTGGGGATCCCCTCAATTCTATGGAACTCGACCATATTCCAATATGGCGGCTTGGCCCACTGGAGTGGGTGACACAGCTGGTCCAGGATGACCTCATCACAAGATCCTTCATTAATCCCATCTGCAAAGATCCTATTTCCAAATGGGGTCCCACGCTCAGATCCCAGGTGACACACCTTCTGGAAAAGACACCATTCCCCTCAGTTCTATGGAGCCTGACCATATTCCAATATGGCGGCTTGGCTCAATGGATGGCCGCCAGAAGCGCCGTCATATGGACCAGGAAGCAGCTGTCACCAGACCATGGCGTCCGTCACACCTTGACCTTGGACTCCCGGCCCTCCAGGACTGACCTTGGACTCCAGAAGCAGAACTGCAGCATCTAGGAGCTTTTCCTGCGAGAATTGAGCTGGTTTTTGAAGGGAATACTTCCTGTGACTTAGGTTTTTCAAAGGGAAAAAATCAGCTCTTTTTTTTTGAAATAGGCCTATTCAGCAAGTTGAGAAACAATTATCTCTGACAGTAACATCTGTGATACAAGCTATAGAATCTAGGACCTAGTATACCTCTGAGAAGAGAGGTAATTTATTGATAGGGTACTGTCCTATAATTAACATTTTTCAAAGTGAACGTAGGCTCTCTTTGTTCCAAATGGGTCTATTCACAATGAGTTCAAGAAAACACATGGAAGCACTAAATGAAAACCACCTAGATTACAACTTCGCCATGTCTTCATTGTTTACCCGTGTAAAAACCAGTAAGTTTTTGAAACCAGTACTTCTGCATCTTTGGAAATTCAAGGTGGAGATAGGCTGTTTGTTCCAAATAGGCCCATTCAGCAGTTAAGAACTCTGTATCTCAAAAGAAACCACTTGGGTCAGAATCCAGGAGATATAGCATTTCTTTTCCTCAGAGAATTGAGTTTCCATTTTTAAAAGGAATACTTTGGGCAACTTACGTTTTTCAAAGGGAGATAGGCTCTCTATCTTCCACGTAGCCTGTGAGCTAAGTTGTAAAAACATCAGTGTCTCTGCAAAGGAAAACTACTATGTTACAACTTCAACATCTAGCATTGCTTCCCTGTTAAAAAGAGTATTTTTAAAGAATTTCTTCCCACCATTCAGATTTGCAAGGGAACAAAAGGTTGTTTGTTCCAAATAGGCCTCCCGGCTAATTTGAAACCAAACACATGTGTCTTTTGACCATGTGCTCAAAGCCTGCTTTGCAAGTGTGAAGCCCTGAGTTCAAGTCCTAGTCCCACCAAAAAAATTAAATTTAAATTAAAAAAAAAAAAAAAAAGCTGTGTTTGTACGGTTCCTAACTTGTGACATCAGCTGTAGGTTCCACATGTCAGAATGTTTCATGCACAAAAAATAAATTCCACTGTCCGATTTTTTGCATGGCTGTAACTGCACATTTTCCCAAGCGTGCCTGTTTTCAGGGACAACTACTCAGTCGAGAACTGGTCATTTCTGGTAGTCAGTTTACACACATGCACAGAATAAAGCCACCTGAGAGCCAGCGAGGTTCACCAGGAGCCTGGTGAACACAAGTGGTGTCTTCACAACAAAATTTCAGGGCAATAAATGTCTGTCTGACCTCAATGATCTGCCACCTGGTCCCCCAAGTCCCCCAGGTCCCCAAGCCCGCGGCGGTGACCTATTTTGGGAGCTGGGTGACACCACCCACCGGTAACTTGTGACATCTTCAGGGTGAACCCGGGCGCCCCCAAGATGGCTGACACCAGGACGGTCACCTGCAGAGGTCACATCAGCCCCCGCACCGCCACCCTCTAAAGTGACCAGAGGACACACAAGCCTGGAGCAGGTGACAAGGGACATTGTCCACTTGTGTTTCCAGAGAGCGTGCGTGGTGAGGACGCTTGTGAGGTCCTCCTGGCCGGCTGCTGCCCCTGAAGGCCCAGAGCGGAGGGGGGGGGACAGACAGACGGACAGACGGAGGGAGGGAGGGAGGGAGGAGGGAGGAGAGAGAGATGAGAGAGAGAGGAGGGAGAGAGAGAGAAGAGAGAGGGAAGGGAGAAGAGAGAGAGAGAGGAGGGAGAGAGAGGGAGAGAAGGAAAGAGAGAGGAGACAGGAGAGAGACAGAGAGGGACAGAAAGAGAGAGGAGAGAGAGAGACAGAGGAGGAGAGAGGGGGAGAGAGGGGAGAGAGACTAGAGAGAGGGAGTGAGAGAGAGGAGAGAGGGAGTGAGAGAGAGAGGAGAGAGGGGAGAGAGAGGAGAGAGAGAGGAGAGGGAGAGAGTAGAGAGAGAGAGAAGAGAGAGGAGACAGGAGAGAGAGGGAGTGAGAGTAGAGAGCAGAGAGAAGGAGAGAGAAAAGAGAGGAGACAGGAGAGAGAGGAGAAGAGAGAGAGTCCATCCTTCCTGATCATCAGGTGACCGCATCCTCAGGGCCACTTCCCTTGGTGACACAGAGGCCACAGGTAGGACAACTGAGAAGTCAAACACCTGGTCCTTCCTGCTGACCTGTTGGTGACCCTGACTGTCTTGTCCGTCTGTCTGTCTGTCCAGTCCTTAAACTTGGCCTTGCCCGCCTGGGTCCCCCTTTCCTGGGGACAGGTGCCGACCGTGATGTTCCCCTTCCTGCCCCGGGGTGGGGGTGGGATTTCCTTGCCCAGCATCACCTCGGCGCCATAGCAACCCAGTGTCCCCAAGAAGCCACCGCGGCCGCCCTGGGCCCCGGTTTCCAGGCGGCGTTCACTGTGGGTGGTGACGGCGGGGCCGGGGGGGAACAGGGCCACCTGCAGGTGACAGGTGCGGCGGCGATGGGCGGAGGCCCCCTGAGGGGACGAGAGGGGACAAAGGACAAGCAAGAGGAAAGAGGACCTGGGGACCCACCTGTTGCCAACCTGCACCCCGAGGTCCCCAGCAACCCCAGATGCGACGCGCGGGGCTCGGGGGTGGGGACAGGGGCCCTGGCAGGAAGCGGGCGTGGACGGCCGGTGGCCAGCAGGTGCCACGGCGGCGCGGCGGCGCGTGCGACTCACCCACGGTTGGCCACGGTGTCCAGGTCCCTGCAGGCGCGCCGCGGGCTGTCGCCCCCGCCTTCCCGGGGGGCTCAGGGTCCCGGGGCCACCGCGGCGGCGCAGGCGCGTCCCATGGGGGCGCAGCCTCGCGGACGGCGACTCGGGTGGCATCAGCGGTGGCCACCCATGCGCGTGCCCTCGCCACCCGCGGCCACCGCCGCCACCCCCCCACAGCTGTCCCCGAGGCCGGGACAATGGCGAGCTGGCCGCGAGGGGACGCGCGCGGTTGGCCGCGGGGGCGGAAGCGGTCTGGGCGGGGCCCCGGCGCGTCTCTCCGGAGGGGGCGTTGCCGCTGCGTCGCCTCCTGCGTCACCGTTACGTCACTGGCTCCGCCCACGGCCACGCCCCCCGACGCCCGGGACCCGGGACGCGCGCGCCGCGCCCTGGAGACGCGCACGGGACTCCGCGCTGCGCTGCGCCTCCGCCAGGTGGGGGACGCGGGGACCTCATCCGTCTCCTGGGGTCACCCGAGGCCACCACGCGGGGGACGCGGGGACCTCATCTGTCTACTGGGGTCACCCGAGGCCACCACGCGGGGGACGCGGGGACCTCATCTGTCTACTGGGGTCACCCGAGGCCACCACGCGGGGGACGGGGACCTCATCTGTCTACTGGGTCACCGAGGCCACACGCGGGGGACGCGGGGACCTCATCTGTCTACTGGGGTCACCCGAGGCCACACGCGGGGACCGGGGGACTCATCTGTCTCGGGTCACCCAAGGCCACCACGCAGGGGACACGGGGACCTCATCCGTCTCCTGGGGTCACCCGAGGCCACCACGCAGGGACGCGGGGACCTCATCCTGTCTCCTGGTCACCCAAGGCCACACGCAGGGGACACGGGGACCTCATCCGTCCTGGTCACCCGAGGCCACCACGCAGGGGGACGCGGGGACCTCATCTGTCTCGAGTCACCCAAGGCCACCACGCAGGGGACTCGGGGACCTCATCTGTCTACTGGGGTCACCCGAGGCCACCACGCAGGGGACACGGGGACCTCATCTGTCTCGTGGGGTCACCCAAGGCCACCACGCAAGGGACACACGGGACTCCAATGCCACATGGGGCCACCCAGGGGCGGGGCCATCTGGGACTTGGGACGCAACCAGAAGTGGGGGTGCTCTGGGGACCCCATCTGCAACTTGCGGTGCAACCCGGAAGTGGGAGCCACTCTAGGGACCTCCTCTGGGGCTTGGAATGCAACCCTGAAATGGGGACTGCTCTGGGGACCCCCATCTGGGACTTGGGACGCAATCCAGGAGTGGGGGCAGCTGTGGGGACACAGGGGACCCGCTCTCTGCCAGTTGGGGTGCAACCCAGAAGTGAGAGCCACTCTGGGACCCCCATCTGCCACTTGGGGCGCCATCCAGGGGTGGGACGCTCTGGGGACCCCCATTTGTGACTTGGGGTGCAACCCTGGAGTGGGGGTCACTGAGGACCCCTTTCTGAGACCCGGGGTGCCCCTGGGGTGGAGTCCCCCCCAACCTGCACCAGGGACGCGCTCTCTGTCCCCTTGGGTCACTGCCCGCGCCCAGGCCCAGGCTGGGGACAGGGAGGCCGGGGTTGAGAACCCAGGAAAATTACAACAGAAAAGTGCCAATGGGGTTTGGTGCTGGCAGGAATTAGGGTCCAAGCCCTGTGAGCCCCAAGGATTCCTGCAAGGCCACCGGGGGACAGAGAATGCAAAGCTAGGACTTCCTGGGTTTGCCTTGGGGACAGGTTTGGGGCGAGGACCTCCCCGTGTGGTTTCCCTGCAGCTTCCTGTGAAGCTAAAATTATTTCAAAGCAAACCTTTTTTTAAAAAAAGAGACAGAGAGAGAGAAATTGAAGCCGTGGAACATGCAAATGTCACCCACGAGGCTGGATTTGTCCCTGCTTCGTCACGGGAGGGAGGACCGCGCGTGGACGCGCACGCCCAGCAAATGCAGGTGCACCGTGGTCACCGGTGTCTGTCTGTCCCCCTATAAAATGCATCCCGAGCAATATTGGCACGGACCTTACTTAGAGGACCTCTGATTTCTGTGCAATGCAAATGCAAGTGGAGCCTGGAGTCCCAGCCACTGACTTAAAAGTGACGAGGTCACCCCAGTTCCACCAAAACAAAACCATGAAAAAGAAGTGACAAGGCACAGGGCGAGGGGAGGGGATGCCACCCCAAC